AAAAAAAAAAAAGAATTGGAGCTATAATTAATAGGTCTGATGGGAGCATGGACTGAGTAAGGTTACAGGACAAATGTTGAAAATGGTGGTAACTGCTAACATAGTAGGAGATAAAGGATTATATCCTTACTAGAGAAAGAGCTCTTATAAATCAGTAAGAAAAAATTATCACTGCAGTAGAAGAATGGACAACGGACATGAAAAGGTAGTTCTGAAAGATAGTTCCAAAAAGAATAAAATTAGATGACCAATAATAATTTTTTTAAGTATATCCTTATTAAAATTGGGGGGTTTTAAGTTTTAAAGTTAAAAAAAAACCTCAGTGATAGAGGGGCTATGGACACAACAGGGAGTTGTGGGACTGGAGAGTGTGAGTTAATATAGCCCAGCAATATGGATCCAATTTTAAATGCAAGTATGCTTCTGCTGCTAAAAACACGGTTCACCAGGATGTCTGTACAAGAATGTTCACCAGAGGCCTGTTAATTTTTACAAATAAAAGAATTGGAAAAATTTGTGGGCAATGTGAAATAAATTGGTGTGTCTATACTAAAAAATTATATTGCTATTTTTAAAAAATGGTCTACATTGGCAGGGAAACATGTCTTCACTATTTATACGGAAAGATGTTGCTTCTTAAGTGAAAACAACAGGTTAGGAAACTGTAGTGTATGATCTCATTTTTTATATAACATGTCCACTAATTATTTTCAGATTATTTTTTTCATTATCTGAATTGTATTTGATCTTTCATTTTGCTCATTTATGTTTTCACATTTCCCATAGAGAATGAATATTACTTGTACAGTTAGAAATTCACATTAAAGGCTCATTGCCTGTAGCTCAAGCGGCCAGGGCGCCAGCCATATACACTGGAGCTGGCAGGTTCCAATCCAGCCCAGGCCCACCAAACAACAATTACAACTTAAAAATAGCCTGGCATTGTGGCAGACACCTATAGTCCCACCTACCTGGGAGGCTGAGGCAAGAGAATCACTTAAGCCCAAGAGTTTGAGGTTGCTGTGAGGTGTGACTCCATGGCACTCTACCCAGGGCAACAGCTTGAGACTTTGTCTCAAAAAAAAAAAAAGAAAGAAAAGAAAGAGAGAAATTAGCACTAAAAGTTATTACCTTAAGAATGGAAGCCTGGGCTCAGCGCCTATAGCTCAACCGGCTGGGGCGCCAGCCA